CAAGCCTTGGCCGGCCCTGGTTACCTGTGCCTCTGGCAGCCCTGGGCGGCTAGGCAGCTGCCATCCAAGGCTTTCCTGTGCCTCGGGCCGGCCTGGGTGGCTGGGGGGTTGAGGGGACTGGGGGACTCCGGAGGCAGGTGCGTAGCAAGCCACGCGCCTGCCGCTCCATCAGGGCTGAGGGGACTGGGTGCCGCCATCTTGTAGTTCTGAGCGCCGCCTTCTTTGAGGGCGGGGCAGTCAATTAGCATATTCCCTCCTTATTGGCTGTGGGCGCCACCATCTTTTGCGATGGTGTGAGGGTCAATTAGCATATCCCTCTTTATTAAATAGGATTATTTCTTTGTGTATGAGTGACTGACCCTGCTAATTTTTAAACTTCTATAAACAGGAATTCTGCTTTTACTTGTTAGCATTCTAATCCAAGTTGGGCATTCACAAATGCTACATGATTGCTAACTTGATGAGAATTCATTGCTTTCTGATATTTTTCAGTGAAAAAAATTCAGTCAGTACTTTATTTTTTTAAAAATGTTTCTTCTAGTACAGCGGTTCTCAACCTGTGGGTCGCGACCCCTTTGGCGGTCGAACAACCCTTTCACAGGGATTGCCTAAGACCATCCTGCATATCAGATATTTACATTACGATTCATAACAGTAGCAACATTACAGTTATGAAGTAGCAACGAAAATAATTTTATGGTTGGGTCACAACATGAGGAACTGTATTTAAAGGGCCAGAAGGTTGAGAACCACTGTTGAAGTACTTACTTTAATATCTACATACAGAAGAACTAAGATCCTATTTGATTTACTGTGTCAGTCTTTGGCTAGAGACATAGCATTTCAGTCTTTACAGTGTGAGTTTAATTTTTGGCATGTGTGTTTTTATTGGCCTCAAAGTAAACATCGCCAGCAGAGATTACCCATTTCTAAAATGTAGGCAATGCCTGTGTAATAATAACACCTGTCTATTCTGTGACTCAGAATAGAAATGCTATTAAGTAGCTTCTTAACCCATAAATAAAGTCATCACAGTAAAAATAAGTTTCATAATAGAGGTCAAACATTTTGAAAGTCTTATTAAATGCTCATTTCTTTCATAAAGCATTATAGACACTAGAGGCCCAGTCCATGAAATTTGTGCATGGGGGGGTGTCCCCCTCAGCCCAGCCTGCACCCTTTCCAATCCAGGACATCCCTCTCACAATCCTGGACTGCTGGCTCCTAATCGCTTGCCTGCCTGCCTGCCTGGTCGCCCCTAACTGCCCCCCCTCCCCCGCCGGCCTGATCACCCCTCACTAAACACCCCCGCCCCCGCCGGAGGTTTAACGGCAAACGGGGCCCAGCGAGGCTGGTCTGCCCCCAAACCGCCCACTGGAAGTGCAAGAGGCAAAAACAGAATTGAACAAAAATACTACAGACACAAATCTGTGTCATGATGGAGTGAGTACGCTGAAACGAAGGGGAGAGGGGGGCTATAGAGCGAGAGTAGCCTATCAAAAGAGTTAGCAAGTTAATAGATACAGACGCGACGACGCGAAGTGAAAGGAAAAAATGAGCAAATAGATGAAAGCTACGGCAGATGGAAAAGTCAGAAGGAATAGTGATTCACAATGTAAGAGCATAGACTAATAGGCAGGGAGCAGAGACGACGACATGGAAGTCGGGCAGGAAGAAGAA